CCATGGCGGTCACGGTCTTCCTCTTGGCGTGCTCGGTGTAGGTGACAGCATCGCGGATGACATTCTCCAGGAAAACCTTCAACACGCCGCGGGTCTCCTCGTAGATCAGACCGGAGATACGCTTCACTCCGCCACGGCGAGCCAGGCGGCGGATGGCGGGCTTGGTGATTCCCTGGATGTTATCACGGAGAACTTTGCGGTGACGCTTTGCRCCTCCTTTACCGAGACCTTTTCCTCCCTTTCCTCGTCCAGACATGTCGGCGTGTGTTGAGTCTCACGGATACTGAATCTCATCAGCAGCAGAACGTCTCTTTTTAAACTCTCGAAGCGAACGTAGTAGAAAACAGTCTCCAACACACCCCCAAGTTTCCATTTTTGTGAGCCGCTTAATTTCCGGTTAGGAATACTTCAAAATAAAATGTGTCACCACATATGGCCATTTACACCCCGGGAGAATGGAAGCAGGTGGATTAAGGGAGTGATTTGGGGAATGCCAGTTGAGGTAACCATAGAAGAAATAAAAGCAAATCTGAAAGGTGGGAAATTGAAGGATGCAAGGAGATCAGGCCTTCAGAGAAGGAGTAAAGACGGATAATGAAAGTATATTGCTGGAATTTGAAGAAGCGATTCCTCCAAAGAGAGTACTGCTGTGATACTTTCATACACAGTGAGGGAATATATACCAAAACCAATAAGATGCTTTAAATGTCAAAGATGTGGACATACTGCTATGACATGTAAAGGTAAAAGAAGGTGTGTTAGAAGTGGTGAGGATCATGAGTATGAACAGTGTGGGCAAGGGCAGCAACCACAATGTTGTAACTGTGGAGGAAACCATAGTGTGGCATATGGAGGATGTGAAGTAATGAAGATGGAGGTAGAGATACAACAGGTCCGGGTACAAAACAAAATCACATATGCAGATGTGGTCGAGATGGTGAACCAGAGGGGAGGCAGAAAGTCAAGATACAGAAATGAAAAACAATATACTAAAAGACAAGAACAACCAAAAGAGGGCAAAGCATGGGTTGATTTAAAGAAACTAGTAGGAGTCATAAAATGCTACAATGGAAACTAAATGAAAAACAGAAAGAATACAATTGATAGTTAAAGTAGCTGCAAATCATCTGAATATTAATGAACTAACCTGGGAGGAAGTGAGAAATGATCTCAGTGCACAGGCAAGCCAAGAGGCAGCGTGAGGACCTGACAAAACCAACAAGATGTTAGAGTTTCAATGTCTACGTTTTTCCAAATTTGATCATTTAGTTTGTTTTAAATTCTCGGTCTCATTATAATTTGTAATTCTACAAATTGTTGAGCGGAAGTTGCATAATCTCTACAGCAGCTTCACTACTCATTTTTGATTGGATAGTCGCACTAAGGATTCAGTGTGGCCAATGAGCGTTAAGCTCGGAGCCGCAATTTTAGTATAAAAGCCCGTCACTTCCCTTTGTCTCCACGTCGTCTCGACACCGTGAGATCAAAACTCAAACTACAACATGTCTGGACGTGGAAAGACCGGAGCCGGAAAAGCCAGAGCGAAGGCAAAGACCCGCTCGTCCCGCGCTGGGCTCCAGTTCCCCGTCGGTCGTGTTCACAGGCTGCTGCGTAAAGGCAACTATGCTCAGCGCGTCGGTGCCGGCGCCCCCGTCTACCTGGCGGCTGTGCTGGAGTACCTGACCGCTGAGATCCTGGAGCTGGCTGGAAACGCCGCCCGCGACAACAAGAAGACCCGTATCA